GTCTTCCTCTGGAAAACATCATTACGCTAATCCATTTGTCCTAGCAGCCAAATGATTAAAGTTTGAAAACTAAATTATACCCGTTGCTGCAACAGCATAAACGCAATAATGGCTCTCCTCTGTTGCACCTGTACCCTCTGTTATAATAGCGTTAATGAGCTTTCAGCCTCGTCATCCAAAAAGAAAAGATTATCACGCGACGCTTTATGCTATAAATGTTTTCTTTGCGCTGCTGGTGGCCAAGCAGCTGCAATGCACCGCTCCGAGTTGCTGCACGGCGGGTGGGTGCCTTCCCCAGCGCCGGGGGCAGACCCGGGCCGGGGAGCTCCCGAAACGGGGCAGAGGGTGCAGGCCCCGGGGCAGGACACTGCAGCGGTGCGAGCCCCGTCCGTAGCGCGCAGGCTGCCGGAAACCCTGCGAGGGGAATAGGGATCTATCCTCATTACATAGGATTATCCTATGGTGTGGCATTATTCCAAGCTTGCGTCTTCTCAGCTTAATTTAATAACAGGTTGTGAGCTCTACTTTGATCTGCTTGTGTTTTTTGCTCGTTCCATATTTAACTGAACTCATCATCATAAAGGCCAAAACTGTTTCACTTTCTGTGCCGGGCTGGGTTTCCTGTTGGACACGCGAAGGACACACCTGCACAGTGGGTTTCTGGCCTGCCAGGATGGGGATCCTGTTATCCACAGAGAGAAAGGGAGCTCAGGAATCTGGAGTCAGTAGATTCCTTTCCCAAACATGTGGCCAGACCTGAAAATCCAGCTGCCTGGCTTTTTTTGTTTACTGGTTTCCATATCTGCTCCAGTGTGTCCTGGGAATGTGCGGCAGGACTCTTTCCGGGAGGCCTGTCGGGAGCTGGTTTGCCCCTTCCAAAATCTGCAGACTGAACCTGCTTCACCTCAAGGCTTGTTGTGTTTATCAAGCATTATCCTGTGTCTATCCCAGGTGTCGCCTTCAGCGCTCTCCTGGACAAGAGACTCGCTGGCCGTGGGCTCTCCCGCTGGTTCCGTGCTTCTGGCTGCAGCCCTACAAATGCCGCTGTTACCCCAAACGGAGCAGAAACAACTCTAAGTCCGTGGTTCCCTGGCAGGGCAACCTCTAATTTGGGATCCCAGGCGGCAGAGGTAACAAAAACTGCCCCTGCTGGGGCTGGGCTTCTGCCTTGGGTTAATCACCTTGCAGGGCTGGGAACCCAGGGCTGACGAGCCCAGTTTCCAGGCGATGTGAGCTTTACTCCTGCTCGCAAAACGCAGCCTGGAAGCTGTGCCGATCATTTGTGTGAAGCTGCTTGTCAGATGCTTTCAAGAAAGACAAAGAATCTTAAATACTTCAATTTTCATACTTAACAGACCGCACTTGTGCTGACAGTACCTGCTGGCAATAACCTCTCAGATGGCAACAGGACAAAAACACAAAAAAGCCAGAAGAATGCTTTGCCAAAACAGGCTTGACAAACTTTAAAAACACGCTGGAGGAGGTAATTTGGGTGAATACGCAGGTGATATCATTCTGTCCCTTGGCGGGGATCCACTCCCAGAGCTGCGATGTAGCTATGGCAGCGCACTGTAGTTGTGGGATACTGACGTATTTATGCGTCTTCTAAAAATCTTAAAAACTGTCCCTTTGCTTATAATTAAAGAATTTGTGTGGGGTTTTATTTTGTGCCTGCCGGTTCGGTTCTGCAGTGAACTCACCCCAAAGAGAGCCGTGAGCTCCTGACATCTCAGTGTCCTCTGCCCATGTTTGTGGGAAGCAGAGGGACCTGTTTTGTGTTCCCAGGCATCCTGACTTTTCTAGGGGTACCAGTGTTCCTCATCGCTGAGCTCTGCCCATTCAATTTCTTCCTCTCAGGGCTCTCGGTCCTGAAAAGATTCATCAGTGAGCGGAACGAGCAGGATCACAAACGGTCTGGATGACAAGGGTCACTTTTGGGACCATCCTGCCAGGGCCCTGCAGTGCGCGGTTCTTTGCCGCAGCTCAGGATCCCCGCGCCTTGCCCCGTTGCACAGTGCCATCTCCTGGAAAGCCGTGCCTGAGCTGCACACATCACAACCAGGGTTTTTGCTCCTGAAGCAGCTAGTGGTGCTGTTCATCTTCTGACCCAGCAAAAGTCCCTCACTGAACTTCTCTTCCTCCAGCAGGTACGAAGGCTGCTCGTCCTCGCCTCCGAGGTACCCTGTGGCAGAACACCCCTGCGCAGCTCTTCCCCGCTCTGGATGCTGAATACAAATCTCTAGGTACAAAAAGAACAGTAGAGGAGCACAAATGAACATAGATGTTACTCCTTAGCTTTTGTTCTGTGTGGGCACCAGTTCCCTGTTGAGCGCCCTGCATATGTTTGCCCTGTTAAGTGCCCTGTTTACCTGTTTCTCCTGGTTTTGACTTTAAGGGACACTTTTCTCTCTCCCTCCCCAAGTCTGATGACCTCATCATGAGCAACAACCAAGCCCCTCGTCACAGTGCTCACCCTGTATTTAAAATGTTGCTCCATCTTTTTAATGAGACAAAAATGTGTATGCGGAACTTGCACCCGAATGCTGCTGGCTTGACTAAGCTCTATATTTACCCTGAAAAGACAAGAAAAATGGGTGGTTCCAAGGGCAACACGTATATTCCTATGAAAGAGTAACACACCTTAAGCGCTTAGTCACTGAAAAAACACACACTGCAATTTAAAGCCAAAGGCTGGTACTTCATCCACCATTTCAGGCTATTGTGGCACCTTCTGAGCAGCTGGGAGATTAGTATACTTTGGTAATCTGTCATACACGATGAAATAATGAGTGCTCCAAGGTAAGGCTGTAAAAGCTGTTATTTAAAAAAAAAAAAAAAAAAAAAAAAAAAAGACCAC